TTAACATCTAGATTAATTAATAAAGCAACAAATAAATGAATTATCGTTATGCTGAGTTTTTACGTATACATGATCTTTTAATCACGTGATTATATAGATACGGTAATCAGTTTTTTGGAATTCTTAAACCCTTTTGAAAATTTGTTAATCATGTCAACTTTAAATAAGCATAATTCTCTAGAATTAGAAGACAAAGACACGATTATACAAAGCAAAAAACAAAAACTTGATAAAATTTCAGATAAAAATAGTATTTCAAATATAGTAAATACGATAGAAACTTTGGGCAATATACAAGGAGAACAGGGTACAGATAAAAATGAAGGTCAAATTGATTTTTATGATTATATGAATCAAGTTGATGAAATAAAAGACAAAGTATTGGATATATTAAATCATAATTATACGGATCCAGAATTTATTAGAAGATTTTGTTTTGCATTTAAAAAAAACCAGTCATATACTGATGAAACTTCACATGCAGTAGTTTATAATTCCCCATTTACTGCCGCAACTTTACCAAAAATATTTAATAATGAATTTCTTTCTCATGTCAAAGATGAAATTAAAAATTTAGATTTTGATCCTAAATCTAATGATCTTTATGAATTTCACCAAAGTTCGGATTTAAGAATTTGTGATAAACCTTACCTTTCGAGATTACGTGATGCCATTTATTCTGAAATTTTCGTTCGTACTATGTCTGATTTAGTAGGAATTGATTTAGATTATACCCCTGATTTGTCTGCTCATAAGTATGAAAAAGGAAATTATCTTTTATGTCATGATGATGATATTAAAGACGATGATAGTATGCATGGGAGAAGGATAGCCTTTATTATTTATTTTGTTGATGAAGATTGGTCGAAAGAAGACGGTGGAGCCTTGGAGTTATTTAACACGTAAACATCAAACAACAATTCTTTAATATTGGATAATTTATTTTCATAATTAAATTTCTTCTACTCCTGTTTTTAGAAATTCTCAAGGGCATCCGGACGAAGTAACCCTTTCGATTATACCAAAATGGAATACAATGGCTTTCTTTACACTTAGTCCTACTTCTTTTCATCAAGTATCTGAAGTTTTATCTTCCACGAAAATTCGTTATTCAATTTCTGGATGGTTTCATGGACCTTTAAACACTAGATTATCACGTATGGATTTCTTATCACCTACCCCAGAAGATTTTAATTTAAGTGACATTATAAATCCCATTTATTTGAGTGAAAGAAATAAGCGAATAATATTAGATGGTCTACATAAGTGTTCTTATGCTCTTTTGCCAGAATTTTTGCGGGATGATGTTTTTGAAAAATTAATGAAAAGTATAAAAGAAACTGGATGGGAGGAAAAACCAACGGGACCGGCTTTTGTTAGAAGATATCATCTTCTTAAAGATTCAGAAATCGTTGATTTTAAAGATTTCGAAAACATTAAGATCAAAGATTATAGAGAATCTCTAGTAGATTTTTGTAAATATGTTTATGAATTCTTTAGATCAAAACCTTTTGCTACTTACCTTAATGAAATTTCAAATTGGCAAGTTACGGGTATAGCTTCAGAATTTCGACAATTTCAACCTGGCGATTATACTTTAATCCATGATCAAGCTCAAGATAGAACTGGAGTAGATGTTACATTATTTTGTATTGAAGGTGAATGGGATAAAAAGTGGGAAGGTGGAACTCATTATGTTGCAGAAGAGCAGGAATTATTGGCTATTCATCCACAGAGAAATTCTCTAAGCATTACAATCAGGACGGCTGGTACTTTGAGGTTTGTTAAATATGTTAATTCCCATACGGCTTTCCCAAGGAATGAAATGTCCTTTATATTTTGGGATGAAGAAGAAGATAATGGAGGAGAAGACAAGTCTGAAGAAGTTGAAAGCCTTGAAGAAATCGAAGCGGAACAAAATTTAACTTTTCATGAAGTTTGTGAGAATGATTCTATTGAAGATCCTAATTCTAAGGATATGTAAATATGGTGATGATGAGTAATAAATAAGCTACATTTAATAAATTTATATTATTATTTTTATTTGTCAGTATTAATAGCTAGCATACACAGCATTAATTACAGTTAAAATGGTTCAAATCTAAGTTTTAATGTAACTTTATAACTTTATTCTACATTATTAATGATAGCTTATGAACCTTTTTTAGGATCATTTGGTACATAAATAATCCAAGTTGTGGGCTATCTAATTTAGTCATAGTAAAATAAAATCTTATATTATTCCCATTCTCAAATTCACTTTGAATGTAATATCAAGAAATAGGCCTATTACATGACAAATTGAAATATTAAAAAAATTAAAAATACATTATTATTGTTGATTAAAATTCCAACACCATCATTATTATTGCTTTATCTACTAGGATATAATATAAAACTACGTAAGTTTAGCAAGTTCTTGTAAAAATGCATGAGGATTCAAAAGTTGTGTAGAACCATAGATTATTTTTTTCTTGATAGCCTGTCGCTGTAGAGGACAAAAGTTAATCGAATAAAAGCAAGAGCTATAAAGATGCAGCATTATAAAGATGTAAATTACCTGCGCATATTCCTGTAAATTTTGATATTCAATATAGTTCCCACCGCCAACTACAAACACTATTCCTTCCTGGAAGGAATGTCTATTTCTATTTTGTTTATTTACGTTAGAGCTTCTTGCCATCTTTGGGTCGAAATATAAATAATCTTCCGTCTCATTTGCTCCACTTGCAGATGGTTCCATTATAGATTCAACAATTTTCGTAAGAGTTAAATCCTTACGTGTAGGTAATAAATTTTTGACACCAGATATTAAATTTTCAAAGCCCCCTTCTTTCAATCGATCCGAAAGCTAGAAATTAAAATACCAATTAAGATGTATACTGTTTTCTTGATTTTAAAATAAAATAATGAACTTTATTGAACCTTATTTCCAATAGAACTAAATCCTTGGAAAAGTTGACTAGATTGTCCAAAACTAGAGCTTTGAGAAGTCATAGTTGTCATCATTGTCATCCTAGTGATTTCACGTACTCTTTGATTAACGCAACGTAAAGGAGAAATATATATATATATATTAATTTTAAATTATTTCGTTATGAAAAAATTCTAAATAGAAAAAAAGATATACTAACTTTTTAACATAATTCAATGCATCTAGATTACAATCAGCAGAACGTAATGCATCCTCATATTCAGCCATATCTTCCTTAGGAACTTCTTCAACAGATAAATAATAAATTATAAAAAATCTTAGTTTGTCCTCTGGAGATTTTTTTTCGGGATCTCTAATAGCTTCCAACACCGCTACTTTATTTTGTCTAGTTATAGACTCTTCCATTTGAAAGAACGTATCAAGTTGACGTTCTTTAATTCCTTTTAATAAAGATGTCGCGATATTCATATGCATATCCAATGTTTGTTTCCGTGCTGTAAGTTCTGGTAAAGCTGTAATGGCAGATTTTAAATGTTGAGTATTTTGAGAAACATCAACTTGATCCATATCATCCAATGAGTTTACTCCACTAAGTTTAGTAATTTCAGCAGCATCATTCTTATAACGATTGAGTTCCACATCAATATCTTCAGCTACTTGTGGAAATGGACTTGATGCATTCTTTGCCCAGAAGAAATCTTCGCTATTCAAATCGTAACTCTTCTTTGTGTTTCGTCCCATTTCATCTGTTTCAATGGTGATTCTATTCAAATGCATGTCTAAGACATCATGAATCAACGCCTGATAGGTCCATGAATGGCTTAACATTGGAACAAGATCAATATTTCTATCAAGTATTATCAGTACAGGTCTTTGAAAATTTAAGGATGTTGAGCTTTCCGAAAATAGATTGTTTCGTGAATTTAATGCATGATCTCGTAATCGACTATCAAGCTTTTGTGCAATCATTTCTGCAGCATTTCCTCTCGGACAACGAATTATTGGTATGACTCCCATGGTGACTAATATGGAGAATAAAGAACTAACCGTGCGGTCAATTGCTCGTTCTATAGCTGTTTCCGCGGTGGTTGGATCATTTAACGAATAATAAATGTTTTCTTGATTTAAAGAAAAAAGGTTCGGTTCAGAGACAATGAAATTTAGGTATTGGTCATAGACTTGCGAGATCAAATTTGATGTGTTATTTGATATTGTTGTAGCTGCTAACTCTTCAAGTAAAGGTCGTGAAATAGCTGTCAAAAAATTAATATAATATGATTCGTAAAGGTTTTTGGCCAAATCCTAAATTTCGCAAATCTGTTATAAGCCATAATATAAATAAAAAAAAATGAAGAAATTAGCTCGACTGTTCAAACCTCACTAATCCTTTGTATATTTTCTGATGTCGGCTCGACAAAATAAATCGCGGGAACATCTGAGATAGGTTGTCTTTCACTTCTTAACAACCTATAGAAAGCATCAAACCATTGAAAAACTGAGTCATGTTTAGAAACACGTTAATTTATGGGTTAACGACAATTAAAGAGTCCCAAGATTAAATGTGCATACATGTGAACAGTTACGCCGTTCTCGCGTAAATCGTTAACTTTAAGGACAGAAGAAATGATATCCCGACCAAATTCGTCAAATATCAAAACTTTCCATACAGGTTCATTATTTGCTAAAGGAATTAGCGTATTCTCCGACGATGCTGGTATAACTGCAACTTCTGGTTTGGTGTTAAGGTTGAGCATCGTCACAATTGCCTCTGTTTATTTTTAAAAAAGTAAATATTATCTTTCGATAATATAAAACATCTGAAAAGGTAATACAAATAAGAAATTTACCGATCTGATGATCTCGCAATGTTAATTCTTTTGGAACGCTTCTCATAATGTAAAAATCAAAATTTTTTGAAACAAAAAAAAATTAAAATTTTTTTTATAGTGATATGTAAAATCAGTGGATTGTTTCACATCATTTGATTGGCCAACTATTTCCATAAAGTATAAAAATCTCATGGTCAGTTCACTTATTCACAGAGAAAAAAAAAAAATAGTGAAAAATGAAGCAATCAAATAAATTGGAAACTTGGGGAAATGAAATGACCATGAACTTGAACAACATTTTATACCAAAACATTCAAGCTTCGCCTTATTTCAAACAACTTTAGTGAGTATGTTGTTATCAAATTGTATTAATGAATAAAACGTTTAATATTTTGTTTTTATTTACCAGTGAATTGAAAACTTATCATGAAGTTATAGATGAAATTTATAATCACGGTATGCCAATTTTCCGTATTTATTTGGTTTTGATCTATTTCAACACGTTATTGACTATATATTTTTTATTTTTTATTATTTAGTTGAGTCTCTTGGTAGGTAAACAACATCAAAATATTTACTTATTACCGGATTGATCGTACCATATATTGCAAAGCAGAATCAATAATTTTTGAATAAACATTTTTGGTTTGATAGAGCCTTTCCTTAAAGGGACAACTGCGTCAACAGCCTTTTGTTTGCTTTATAAGCTTTGGACTTTACGATTAACGGTAAAACAAATTAATGGTTTGATTCAACATACCGATTCTCCGTATGTATGGTTCGCTATTATTTTCATATAAAAGATATATCATATTGAATAATAATAACTGTTATTAGACATATACGCGCGTTGGGGTTTCTTTACCTTCGTTACGTATGTAAGCCAGTTCATTTATGGGACTGGCTTGAAGAATATTTAGACGATGAAGAGGATGTCCAAGTTCAAGGCGGATCTCGTCCAGTCATTATGTATGTATCTCCTATGGAGTATTAATCGTACACTACAAGTTAATCGTGAGTTATTCATGATTGTGATGAATTGATTTATTGTCTATTGACTTATTATAAATTATAAAGAATATTAATTACTTTAACGGACTTATATCAGAAATATAGGTAAAATGTGTCGTCAATTGTTAACAGATCAAAAATGGCTCGGAACTATTTTACCTCGTATTCCAGTACCAATCGCTCGTGATATCGAACAAAAATTGAAGGAAAGGTCACAACCTCCCCCTCAGCCAAGGTAGGCAATTTTTATTTTATTTAGTGTCGATTTTTTATATTATTGTTTTTGTTATCAGGTTACACATTAGTTCCTTAAAACGCAAAAAAAAGCGCCTTGGATATAATAAGTTGATTTTCCTGAGGAATGAGGTAGAAAAAAAAAGAATAAATATGAGAGATATAAGTTTTTACAATACAAAGTAAAGCCTGTTTCTTTGTTAAATCTTACACAATTTCTATTCATTTTTTTAATTGATAAATTAGGAGGGAATCTCCTACATATGATGAGCCAAAGATACCTTCTGCAGAACGTTCACTAAGGCGCGAAGACGAAGAGCGAGAACATAGACTCAGTCGTAGTCGCAGTGTTGATAGACCAAGATCTCATCGATCTCGAGATTATGAGTATGAACGTAGTCGTCGAGAACGTGATAGGGCTAGAGATAGCGATCGCGATCGTGATCGTGACCGTCGACGTAGTAGAAGTCGTGAGCGTCACAGAAGACATCGAAGTTCTAGTCGCGGTCGTAAGGAGCATTATGATCGTCGTAGTAGCTACGATTATGATCGAAAAAGAAAATATGAGGATGATAAATATGAGCGTCGTAGAAGTTAAATGAAGTTAAATTAGTAATTTAAAGAATTTTTTTCAGTTAAATGTACTAACATTGTGTGTTTAAATATTTTCTTTTGTTCGAATCTTTAAAAAATTTTCTCAGTTGTAATGATATAAGTTTAGTATTACCTCGTTTCTTTTTTATAATTTATAGATGTTGTTTGTCATATTATGGACATTTGAAGGTGTCTCAAATTATTTCTTTTAAGATTAAAAAACCAACCCTCTAAATGACCCGTGATCCAATCTCACGTTTTAACGTTGTTACATTTTCAAGGAACCAATTTTCATTTACTGTAAGAAAAGTTATTTTTGTTTTCCGTATTCAGATATTTTCTTTTACGTACTAAGAATAAACTTCAAAATGAAACATGCAATAATATACATAATACCTATTTAGAAAAACTCTGTGTAAGCAATTGAACTTTAGCAAATATTTTGAAAGAATTTATTTGGGTATATAATGCTTAGTTAATGTGTTTCCTCTGTACATATCGTTATAGCACTGCAAGGTAAAATAACGGCATTTCGTTTAATTAATTAACTTTCTTTGTAATAATAAAAAAATTTTCTTGGCGAACTCGGTTCGCCAAAATCACGTGATTTATTTTATTTAAATATTTCCGCAATAAAGGATATTTCACAAAGAAATAATAAGGTATGTTGTTTATTGCTTGGCTAGCTTCTAGGAATATATTATCATGATGCTAATCAAGCTTTTCGGCTTTATAGTTGTGTAATTGGTTAATTTATTTCAGAAATTATAGAGTAGACGTATAGATATCGAAACATTAGCATGATTAGGTAGTATTGACGGGAAAACACTGGTTGTTCGAGATGCTTGCTCCCTTGTAATAACTAACCTCTCTTCATATGCTTCAAAATTATTTTTTTTTGCAAAGTTTATTTATTAAGCATTAAGATATTCAAATTACATATATTATATTGAGATTAGCAATAGCAAATAAAAAACTTGCATGAAAAGATAAATAAAAAAAAAATCTCATAAAAATACTATCCTAGCATTATTCTAATATTATAGTTTTCTATAAGTCTCTCCCTATCTTCTTGTGAAAAGTCTTTGGCTATTCTGTTCTTCGCATTACGAAATAATAATCCAATAAGTTTATCATTATTGCTAATTTGTAAAAAAACATCCTTATCCTTCTCAATGCATTTTAATCTTTTGGTGGATAAATCATCAGTAAAATATATATTCAATTCATCATGATCCTCACAATAGATGGAATGAAGATGTAAGGGTGGCTGATTGTTTATAACCTCATCATAGTCGAATAAATGACTGCACAATATATTTGATGCTTGAAAGATCTGAACCGAAATTATTCTGTCATTGGGTATATAGCAAACTAGAAGACCATTTATGTATTCACAATAATCGTGGATGACATTGATCTTTCTTGAAAAATTAATTGTTAAAATATCTGCATCTTCATAATAACTGTAGTTAGTATTAGTCCATAAATTACAAAAATATTGTATTTTAAATAAATGATTAATATCATTTTAAATATACTCATTATGAAATAACATGCATACCTTAAGTTAATATCTGTTTTAGTTTTATATTCATCATTTGCATAGTTATATCCTTCCAGATTTGTTACTTTCTTTAAGTATTTTAATAAAATCCAAGTAAGACAAGCAAAACAATAAAGATATTAATATAATAAGAAACAAACTAAACACATGAAGCAGTGTATAAAATCTAAGTTAAAATTTATGTGCACAAATTAATTAATTATTACTAAAATAAGAAAATTATAATATTTTCTTATATAAAATTACCTTTTTTATACATAATTTATCTATTTTTAGTAATAATTTGTGCACATTGTATGTTGTATAATATGTGCACACAAAAATTAATGTGCACATGTGCACATTGTGCACATAGATTTTACACACTGACATGAAGCATACCTTAATTTCTGATATAAGAAGTTTAGGGATTGAATAACAATTAACCAAATGTTCTTCAAAAGTTAGCTTCATTATAGACATTCCATTGCTACTGTGCAAAGTATTTTCAGATGACATTTTTCCAGTAACAGTTAATTCTTTATGTAATATTCGAAGGATGCGTATTTTTTCTATAACCATACAGAGATTAGTGTTTTGAAATTCTCTTTGAATGATTATTGTATTTGGATATTCCAGGCAGTCAAACCTTTGAATATTAGCGTTATTTGGGTTTGTATTATAATCAAACACTAGTAGCTCAATATCTTTTGGTGAAATTTTTCTTGTTATATACGTATACTCTTTTGCGTGAAGAGTCCAAGTATATTGTAAGAAAGTGTTTTCAAGGATAACTGACCAATTTTTATAGTGATTAAATGACATAAAAACTCGTTATTGAAAGAAACAAAAGACAAATACAAGTAAGAGAAGTTTTAGGTATTTATACTTTATATACTTTATATACCTTACTAAATATATGTGACTGGTAGACTCTTGATAGACTCTTGCATAAACTTTTGGTGGCTTGTTGTGATGTAATACCATAATAAAAAAGTAATTTATAAGTATACGAAAAAATGATTAATACAGTTTTATTATTACTTATTTGATTTTGATTCTCCGACAAAAGGTATTTATTAAAAAAAAGGTTACATAAATTTTAGGTCATACAAGTGGTCATATGATTGACCATATTTGATTAATCAGAGTAAATTAATAAAGCGCAGTAACAACTTTTTTTTACCCAGTTTTGACATAAAATTATTGTAATCCGGACAAGACACTTCGCAATTAAGAAGCATAGAGAAAGTTTGTTTTTATTGGTTAATAATCAATGTGTGTAATAGTATTATGATTAGCTAAACAAATAATATGCGATAATACTACACAATTACATTTTACAGTTATTTTTTTTGTATTTTTGCTTCAAATTAATTAACTATCTCATTATGGTTCAAAAAAACCATGGTCACATGTTCAGTATATAATTGTAATAACCAAACATCCCGTTTTCGACAATTTACTTTGTTAGCATATGAAAAAGCTCAAAAAAGGAACTTACGAAACATATACATATTTAAGAATCGGACAACAATTGTGTCATAATCATTATATGAGCATTGTTGAACCTTATCAAAAGCATAAGTCAGAAATTCCTCTTTTTTTAGAAGCCGACGAAAATATAATACATCGTAAATATAAAATTATAATTAGTTAGCCGTAAAAATAATAAAATCAGAGTTGCATTCGATCATCTAAACCTTTTTATAATGATTTACATAATAATCAGGCTTAGATCGAGAATACAGCTTCAATTTTATTGTTTTTACAACTAACTATATTATAATTTTTTATATATATAGAATTAAAAAGTTATTCATTTGCCGAG